CTGTTTTGAGATATATACAATTTTAGTTGTATAAGTGAAGTTACAGCACTAGCTTGTAGTTTTAGATTGGCAATTTTACAGGATGATTACTGGTTGCAACTAATTTTTTGTGGTTAGCTATAATATGGACTTCTTTGGCATAGAATTTTGTGGTTAGCTAGTCTCATACATCAAGAAATTTTATCTGAAACTATCAAGATTCTAAACCACACAGACTATGGTAAATGCATTGAATTTTATCATACATTAGCAGTTTCTGTTTTCTGCTCAATCCTCATGTAGTCTGTAATCCTCATGTAGTCTGTAAGCGTTGTTCTTTTCCTATTGTTCCGGCTGGAGTGGAGGTCGTTACGAGATTTTTTGCTGTTATGCTAAATTTAATATAATTGTGGTTTTTCTCCTGGTTTTATAAAAATATACCAGTGTTGTAGTGCAGTCGCCCTGCGCCAACTGCACGACTTTGAGCTATTGATGGAGGGTGGACCTCCAATATCAAACCGTTTTATTCTTTTATCAATAATTATAAAAAGTATAATCTATGCAAGATGGACTGTATTTTAATTTTTTAAAAATATAAAATTTTAATTTTATTAATTGTATAATTAAAATTATTCATGAAATATTATTATTAGAAATAAAGTTAGTTCGCATGTTAGGAAAATCTAATGATTTGATTAAAAATTAGACTGACACAAGAAAAAATTATATTTGATCTTAGAACATAACTCTAATGTACTTAAGTCACGAATTATGATTGCAAAAAAAAAAAAAAAAGACAGACAGGAGTAAAATTTACTCTTTGCACATACATCTAAGTGCAATTGACAACAGCAACAAAATTAAGCGATTCTGGCTGTGTCACAGTTTAAGGTGACCTCCACATGATTGGAGGGGCTTGAGGTGAATTTAGTTATGATATTTTGGAAACATGATTTTGATATGGTACATTTTAATTTTAATTTTTTAAATTTCATATTACTGTTCATTTTCATATAAATAAAATATAATTAAATTTAAGCAAAATAATTGTATTTCACTTCAGGCTAATTAAAAAATATATAATACCATACATTTCAATTTCACACTCAAACCCATGGATTTCAATTTCAAAATAGATTTCCTCTGCACTCTCTTCGCATGCCGACGGCGATGAAGCTTGCATTGTCCGTTTCATCGACTCTGCCGCTGCTCTTGTTGGAAATAAAGATTTGGGAGGAAAGACTGGAGAAGAACACAAGAAGAAACTTTCCAGAAATGCTTCCTTATTCTTGGCTTGGATATATCAATGCTCAAGTACAAGCACAAGCCATTTTATAGGCACAAAAGACTCCAAACCCAAAACAGTTAAATGCAACTCCTAGAAACTGTAAAGATAAAATAAATGGGTACATGCACTATGCTAGCACATGAACTATGCAGGTACATGACTAAAAATAGGAGATTAATAAATCAAGTTTATTTTTCCAACACCCCCCCCTTAAACTTGATCACCTTTAGTCACTCCAATCCAAGCACGCAGTCTTGCAAAATCTTCAAACTTTAGTGCCTTAGTGAAAATATCTGCAATTTGCTCATTAGTCTTCACATAGACAAGCTGTACATCTTTCCTCTCAATGCAATCCCTTATGAAGTGATATCTGGTGTCTATATGCTTGCTTCGATCAGTAAACATTGGATTCTTTCCCAAAGCAATAGCTGACTTGTTATCTATGTAAATGGTTGTAGCTTCATCTTGAGGTATGCGCAGCATCTCCAACAACTTCCTTAGCCAAATTGCATGACAGACACATGATGCAGCAGAAACAAATTCAGCTTCACAAGTAGAGAGAGTTACAATGGCTTGCTTTTTTGAACACCAAGTGAAAGCAGTATCACCCAAGAAAAATAGAAAGCCGGTGGTGCTTTTCCGATCATCAACATTACCACCCCAGTCACTATCACTGTCGCCATAGAGTTTGAAATTTGTGGAAAAAGAATAAGTTAGGCCATAATCAACAATACCTTTGATGTATTGAAGTACTCTCTTTGCCATCGTCATGTGTGTTGAAGTAGGTGCCTCCATGTACCGACTCACAAGACCAACACCATAGAGAATGTCTGGCCGTGTGCAAGTCAAATATCTCATATTTCCAACAAGGCTTCTATACAGAGAGGGATCCACCTTTGTACTTTCATCGTACTTTGACAATCAAGTTCCACAAGCAATGGGGGTACTTACCGGCTTGCAATTTGCCATTTCAAATTTCTCGAGAACTTTCTTTGCATAAGCTTCTTAAGAAATAAAAATCCCATCTTCATTTTGCTTTACCTCAATTCCAAGGTAGTAGGATATGAGACCAATGTCGGTCATCTCAAATTCTTGAGTCATTGCCTTTTTAAGTTCTTCAAACATGTTTGCATTATTGTCGGTGAAGATCAAGTCACCAACATTCAAGCACACTAGCATAAAGCCTCCAGTTTTGTCTTCTTTGATATAAAGAGCATGTTCATGTGGACATTTGGTGAAGCCATGGTCTTGGAAATATTTGTCAATGCGGCAATACCATGCCCTTGGCGCTTGCTTCAAGCCATACAACGCCTTCTTCAATTTCAAGATTTTTTCTTCATGTCCCTTGACAACATATCCCAATGGCTATTGAACATACACTTCCTCTTCAAGATAGCCATTCAAGAAAGTGGACTTAACGTCCATTTGATAAATTTTCCACTTGTTTTGAGCTGCCAAGGAGATAATCAACTGAATGGTTTCCAAGCAAGCAACAGGGGCAAAAACCTCATCATAGTCAATGCCATATTCCTAGATATAACCCTTTGCAACAAGCCTTGCCTTATATTTCTCCACTTTCCCTTGAACATTTTTCTTCACTTTGTACACCCACTTCATGCCAATTGCCTTCTGCCCTTCCGGAGGAGTCACCAGCTCCCATGTGCCATTCTTTTGGATTGCTTTAATCTCTTCATCCATTGCATGCTTCCATTTCTTGTCTACTATTGCCTCTTCGAAATTTAACGGTTTGATGTCAACAAAGAGACAAAAGAAACTTGGATTATCAACCACCTCAGTTTCTTCATAAATATTAGCAAGATTTTTTGTACGTAGTGGCCCTTCAGAAGAACAATCCTCAGGTGATTGAGATCCATGAGGAAAGTGAGGTGGAGTAGCAACATCTTGCCTTGTGTCTTGTCTGGATTCTCCTTCTTGCAAAGGAAAGATGACATATTCTTCATTTTGAGAGACATTCCAATCCCATGAGCTTCCTTCATCAAACTCAGCATCTTTACTGATTACAATCTTCCCATTGGATGGATTGTAGAACTTGTAGCCTTTGGAGCTTCAATCGTAGCCAATGAAGACAAATTTCTCACTTTTTCCATCAAGCTTTGATCTCTTCTCATCTGGAACATGAATAAAAGCAATACTTCCAAAAACACGAAGGTGAGAAACATTAGGCTTCTTACTACTCCAGGCTTCTTGCGGTGTCATACCTTGAACACTTTTTGAGGGAGAAATATTAGACAAATACACAG